GAAAGAAGGGATAAGTGATGAGTCATGATCAGATGAGATTATTGGAGAGGGCATCTTTTTGCGGAAAAAATCCAGAATAAACGGGGAGGGGTTAGGCGGTTGGGAGGCATTGAATTGCTGCATGGGAGATGGGGATTTTTCGTAAGGAAAATGGGTTTCAACAAAGACAACATGGCGGGAAATATATACCCTTTTTGTGACCCAGTCAAGGCAAAAATAGGCATGATGAGTAGTGGAAAAACCAAGATAAACACATGCGCGAGAGCGAGGTTCAAGTTTATGCTTGGTGTAAGGGCGAAGCCATGGATAACATAAGCAGCCGAAAACCTTGAGAGTATTATGGTTTGGCGGCTCATGAAATAACATCGAATAAGGAGTTTTAAGATGGGAGTAGGAAGACGATTTATAAGATATGTGGCATACTGAAATGCATATGGCCAGAATTGTAAGGGAAGAGAAGCCTGAAATAATAAGGCAAGTGCAGTTTCAATGATATGCCTGTGCTTTCGTTCGGCAGAGCCGACATGTTCAGGTGTGTAGGGTGGCGACACTAAATGTTGAATGCCATGTTTAGCAAGTTGAGGTGCTAAAGAAATAAATTCACCCCCGCCATCAGTATAAAGTGTTTTAATTTTAGTGCTAAAATAATTTTCAATTAGAGCACAAAATTTTGTGAACACTGATGACACATCGGATTTATGCTTTAAGGGAAATAACCAAGTATATTTGGTATAGTAATCCACGAAAATAACATAAAATCGAATATTATTGATTGTAGAAATTGGAGACGGGCCCCATACATCAGAATAAACAAATTCAAATGCACGAGTACAATTTATGGAAGAATTATAAAAGGGAAGCTTATGACTTTTTGCTTTATAACAAGCATCACAAGGAGAAATTTTGGTATGACTAGGTTTTATTTGACGTTGTATAGATAATGAGGGGTGACCAAGACGTTGGTGCCATAGTTGAGAGTTGGCGGTGAAGGCCTGAGGTGACTGACTTGACCACGTGTAGAGATTTTGATTACTCCGGCCGCGGGCCAAGGATGCCCCTGTGGTTAGGTCCTTCACAACAAAAGAATTAGGTGAGAATTCGATGGAAGCATTGTTTTGTATACAAAATTGGTTGACAGAAATGAGATTGTGATTGATATGGGGAGCACAAAGAACATTATTGAGTGTAAATTTTGAACCGGGAGAAGAAACATAAGATGTACCAATGTGAAATATAGGAATTCTCTTACCATCACCCATGGCTACTGAATCACCACCGTTGTATTCAGAAGGAATATGGAGGTTATTGAGATCAGATGTGATGTGGTGAGTAGCCCCAGTGTCAAGTAGCCAAGTATTATTAGCTGCGGTGTCTCCCCCATGAACTGCATTTGCCGTAGGGTGAACTGAGTTCCTTATGTAGCATGTTTTTGCAGTGTGGCCTGGTTTATCACATAACTGACATGTGACAAATGAATTACGAGAAGAGGAGTTTTGACCAAAGTGGGAAGGAGTGCCGAAGCCTTGTTGATGAGCAGAAGGGGAGTCATTGAACCGGCCGCCACGACCGCGTCCTCCACGTCCACGAAAAGTGTTTCGGCGTTGAGAGAATTGGGCCGTAACAGGGACATCAAAGACCGAGGAAGAATCACCGGCTAGAGTTTCGGCTTCTCGGAGGAAGTCTTGAAGTTGTTCAAAAGTTGGCAGAATGCGAATAGCTCCGACTAGGTCCTTAAATTCACCGGCAAGACCTCCAAGAATGTATGAGGCAATTTGTCCGGTGCTTTGGGGGTGACCAATGGTGGCAAGGTCATCAATTAATGTTTTCATAATAGCCAAATACTCGGTAACACTTTTTCCGGTTTTCTTTGTTGTCATCAAGGCTGAGAGAAGGGACAACATCCGAGTTGTGGAAGAACTAGCAAAACTAGTTTCAAGTTTTGTCCAAGCATCTGCAGAAGAGGAGCAGGAGTTGATAATGGGACTTATGGTAATTGCAACTGTTGATTGTATGGCTAGAAGGATGAGTCGGTCTTGACGTGTCCAGAATTCATAGCTTGGATCGGTTTGAACAGGACAAGTTTTTTTTTTCAATAACATAGTCTAGAAGACCATAACCGAATAAAAGGTTGGTGATTTGTGATTTCCAAGAGGAATAATTACTTCCATCTTTGGATAGTTTAATAGGGATTTGGGAGGAAGCATTGAGAGAGATAAGTTGGGAAGAAGTTTCATTAGTCATGGGAACAATAATATTTGTGGACGTAGAAGAAGGCATAGCCGAAGGTGGTTAAGGATCAAGAATTTCAATCGGAGTAGATTGAGAGCTCTGATACCATAAAGGAATAATACGTATGAAATAAACTGATTTTCATTATTTATTGAATAGGTGAGTTACAATATATATAGTATGCATGCGTGTGTGGATATGCTCTGGAGGTTGTAACCTCCCTGCAAATAAGGAGAAAGTATCCTCCGTATACTACTCTACGTGAATGGATAACAATTACAATATATGCAGTGATAATGATTGAGAAAGACTTATACAATCAATAATATTAAAATAATACGTAGTATTATAGTTTATCACTTTTTAGCTTTTACATTTATTCTTAGTCCAAGAATTATCAATCTGGAGTTATTTTTATTGAATTTATTAAACTAACCGGTAGATCTGTACGTTTTTCTCTTTAAAATATCATTCTTTTTACATATTAATTTTTTTCACCAAAACTATCTTGATATACTTTTTTAATATTACTTATTGATTTTGCGAAAGCAGAAAAAATTTGTATTAGGCCAATGCATTTATTAATTCAAAAAATTGTTGTACTCATGTTTCCCCATGTTTCAAATTTGAAAAAGATTATGCGTGCTTTAATTATATTTGTCTTATATAGCGACTGAACTAACCCAATCAGCCCTTTTGATTTAAGCATGCTAAGAATTTGGAGGCACTCGAGAAAAATTATGTGGTCTATTATAATGCATTGAACTAAAGTCTGGGTGGAAAAAGCATAAACGAAACAAAAATGATAGGAGAAAAAAGTGTTGCCAAGAGTTGAAACCAAATATATTAGAAGAAAAATGCATACCTTTACTTTTGTGGCTTAGAGGATGACATTGGAAAATGTGGCCTGATTTGTTTATATTAAACCTTGGTGGCCCTATGCAGCTGAGGGATATATTCATGGCTGACACTGGATTTACATTGGGGATAAGTCAAATTTACTTATTTAAGTCAATATTTTTTAAATATTTCTACTTGTAAGTTATAGATGTGAAACTATTAGTGTAGCTTTGACAATTAGAGATTGAGTCCAAATTATGTTGAATCATTTTCTTTGGTTCTAAACCATGTAGACTTATTGTATTAACATTCATCAAGACATTGTTCAATATGCCCATAAGAGTATAATGTTAAGTCCATGTCATAACATTATAGGATGGAAAAAAGGCGTTACAGCATTTGTAGGCTAACAACTTGCATGATTCAGGTATATTCAGTCCCACATGGATGCTCAAATGCAAGACGTTATCAGTCCACAAGTAAAAGCAACCCTACATCTTGGATCGGAAACATATTCTGTTGAGGTGAACAAGGGAATTGTATCTGAGCAACTGGTCTCAATGAAAGAAAAGAGCATGAGGATCTTAAAGGACTATATCACAAAGCATAATGTTCCAAATGATGTCCCCGATGAACCAGAAGAAAATTCTTCTGAAGATGAAGAAAATGATTCCACTGACAAGCCTTATACAAAGTCTAAAAAGAGAAAGTAAATTCTGTTTCTCTTTGTCTATTCAGTACAGATGTTAGGGACAATTTCTTTCTATTAGGTATGTGAAGTTGAATTCAATGACTTGAAAAGGTTGAATTGCATTTACAATGGCTCTAAGCTGGGAATTTTGGTTAGATGTTGTCAATTTGCAAATCTTTGTCTTCTAATAAAAGCTCTTTATCAAACTGTGATAGATGCTCTAGTAGGGTTGGACTCGGGCCGGGCGGCCCGAACCGGAACCGGCCCGGCCCGGTCACTGTTTGAACCGGCCCGGCGGCCCGGACCATGGGCGGTTCGGGTCGACCCGGCCCGGTGGCTACCGGTTCCGGGCTCGGGCCTTCATTTTGGTGAACCGGCCTGGCCAGTTCGGGCCCGATCCGGGCCGGATTTTTTTTTTTAATTTTTTTTTAAGTTTTTGGGTTGGATTGGGTATTTTGGGCCATTTGAGGTGGTTTGGGGTTGAGGGGGAGGGTAGGGGGTTGATTAGGAAAACCCAAAAAAAAATATATATATAGAACCAAACCGGGTCCGGCCCGGCCCGGCCCGAACCGGACCCGGGGTTACCCGGGCCGGTTCCGGGCCTCCCCTGCCTTGAACCGAGGCCTGGCCGGTTCAAGGCCCGAACCGGGCTCGGCCCGGAACCGGTCCACCCCTCCTCTAGTCAACCTTACTGTTTCACCAAATCTATTCATCTCTTATATTTGTCAGTGTTTTGTGATGTATGGATGTCTAATTCAGTACTTCATATTGGTGGATACAATATCTGTAAATTTAGTCTTATGTGGTGTTCGTCAATTATTTTACAAAAATGCATTCTGCCTTTAAGTCCAATGGGGCAGACCGGCAGACCCAGCCCAGGTTCTTGAGTTGTCCATTTTTTAGTTTTTTACAGGAAACCAGATCGGTTTTCCAATTTTGCACCGGAACAGGTATTGGAAACTTGTCAAAATCAGTTGTGGATATTTTTTTTTGTTTGGTGGAATTTGACCTTGCTCACCGTAGGTGGAAACCTTTGCGGCACTGGGTAATGATGACGGTGGTGGTGGAATTTGACTTTGCACTTTATGTTTTGAGCAATATTGGACTTTGCACCTCATTTTCAAAATAATTAATGTTTGCATCATTACTCCAAAATTTGGAAAGGAATGAGATGCAAAGTCAAATGCTTTTATACTGAAATGGTGTGCAAAACCAAATGGGCTAAGAGACTAGACCGAAGCCAGAATGTTATACCCAGTTAAGATACCACTCAAGTGACTTGGAACTAATTGAGTCAACCCATCAGATACATGCAATATTTAGGGCGCACCCTGGTCACAACAACAAATGAATTTAATGTCCTGAAGCTGCCTGAAATGTAATGAAAAGTTACAGTCCACATTTTTTACATAATAGGACTTCATGTTGACGCCAACCCCAAAATCTTTTGGGATCAAGGCTGGGATGTTGTTGATGTAGAACTTCATGTTGATGAGTTAAGAGATCTTTTTATACTGCGAAGGACACCCCACATGGAAGTTGAAATGATGAATAGAATTACTCCAGTCACAATGGCATACTTGAGCCCGACGTTCACCAGCAAGTTTACCAAGAGGCCAGCCAGCACTACACCAACAAAGTTTGCTGAAACAGCAGACCAGAATGGCATTTCCAGGACTGATGCAATAATCGCTCCGGTCCAAGCTCCAGTTCCTGGGAATGGTACAGCCACAAAGAGCATTAACCCGAGCCATTGAAATTCCACTACGGGACCAGCCTTCTTCTTCGCCCAATCAAAGAACACCTCCAGAAACTGGGTTGCTGACTCATTCTTCCCTGCCAGGAAGGTTGCCAACCTCTTCAAGTAAAGCACAATGAAGGGCACTGGAACCATGTTCCTACAATCACAAAAACAATAAATCAACTTAACATGTGTCAAGCTGAAATCATATTCTGAACGGATATCTAATCTAGACAATACTAGATAGTGTTGCTCAAGAACCAATACAAAACAACAACAACAACAACAACATTACCCTAGTGCCGCAAAGGATCCCATTTATGGTGGGGTAAGGGTGGGTCGAATGTAAGCAACCGTACCCCTGTACTTAAAGCACGGAGAGACTGTTTCCAGATGACCCATGATCAAGAACCAATAATGATTAATAATCCTGCTACTTTGACATGCATATAAAATGTAACAATGCAAAGGGAAAAAAATCAAAACCGTGCATGAATTTCACAAGTAAAAATTCTTACATTTTAAAGTACTGGTTTCACACTTTCAACTTAGGGTGTTTGTGACTTCGGTTTAGTTGAATTTTTGGTTTATTTCGGCCACTTTTGGCATGTTAGGGTCAGTTTTCTCAGTTTTAAAGAATAATCCGTAAGCTACAGAACTGCCTATGGTTTAGTCGGTTTTGACAGTTTTAGTTGGTTCAGTTTCAGTTAGCTAGTCGGTAGGGTTTAATTTGTCTCCTTTTTTGTTCTGCCCTTATTTGAAGTGTGCACATTTGACACCAACCCATACATTTTCAATGTTAGAGTCTTAAAACTAGTGTTTCTAAGCCCCTATAGTATTGTGCATAATAGTTACTAAGGGCATGTTCACTGGATTGAAACTTGGGTGGTATTTTGGTATTTAATGTATTAATGTTCTGGCCTGATTCCATATGTGACTGGCATTATTCCAAAAGGTAATGGAGCCATGCTTTTGATACACCAACCCTAGTTTTATCCATGTTGGTGATATACAATGGCATCTCTCTAAGATCAAAAATTTGGGGTTGGCAATTGGCATACACTACAAGTACTTTTAGCTCCCTGCACATATTTGCTAGCTAGGTGAGCCCTAAACTCATATGGGCGGCATTCAGATAACAAAATCAGTTGATGTAGGATCAGAGATTGGGTCACTAACCCTAAAACAGACAACACAGTAAGGGAAAAGGGCTTCAACTGCAACCAGTAACCCACAGGAATAGCCCCACGAAGCTCAAGGACAGGCAACGTAGCCAAGGCAAACACCACAGCCTCGTCCGCCCAGCCCAGACGTCTCAAAGCAGTAGCCACCTTCAAGCCAATGCCCGACGTTCTGATAGAATCCGCCGCCGCTGCCGCCGCCTCAGCATCCTTAGAAACCGCAAAGAGCGCAACAGAGACAGAAGCCCAGAACAGCACCCAGAATAGGAACTTCGCCGGATTCTCCACATTCACTGAGAACCCCTCGTTTTCAATTGTTTGAAGAACATCGTCCGTAGAGGTTCTCGGAATCGAAAATCTTGGGAACTCTGAGTTCTTGGAATGAACTAGATAAGCAGATTCCAGAAGTTTAGTGAAACATTTGGATTTCAGTTGTAAGTGTCCTTTGTTGACCAAATAAAAGCTCGTTTTGGAAGATGGTAATTTGGATTGATGGGAGCTTCCATGGAGGATGATCAAGCGCGCCGGCGAGTGTAAGAAAGAAGTGGCCATTTATTCAGATTGTGAAAATGAGCGAGGAGCCCTTATGGAAATGCATTTTGGGCAATATTTTTTCGTATTTTTTCGGGGAAAAAAAATAGATTTTTACTCCTCTCCCCCCCCCCCCCCCAACCACGTGCGACCCTCTTCCCAAGAACCAATACGACAGTGTCATCTTTGGTTGAGGCTTCAAAGAAAAGGTAATATTGAACACATTTGTAAGTAGTATTGTTGAATGTCACCCTTATTATGTGGTTTGTGTTTGTTGGTAACTTTTATTTTTATTTTTTAAAGAGAAAAGGTGCAAATCTGGGGTGGTTCCCAGTGGCATTTTTGGATGAAATTTTTTGAGCATCTTATTCATTAAGTTTAGTTTACTCATGCCGAATTTCAGCTAAAACTTCAATCGGGAAGGCATTCAAATGAATTCTTGAAGATAACTGCGCTTCTAACTGCACAGTTATGTTCAAGAATTCATTGAATGCCTTCCTGATTGAAGTTTTAGCTGAAATTCGGTATGAGTAAACTAGACTTGATGAATAAGATGATCAAAAAAATTCATAAAAAAATTTCACCGGAACCACCCCAAATGACAACGGCCGGACATAACCTCCTAAATAAGGATTTATTTGACCTTTTTTGGTTAGTACATGGACCTATTTGCACCTTTTCCCCTTTTTAAATCATTGTGGTATATTTCGAATTTTACTCTTGAAATATTGAGTTTCATGAACTGTAATTGTGGTTTGGGATCCTTAAGGGGCTGGATTGTAGGATTTTGGTTTTGTTTGAGAGATCGAAATATAATGTCTGTGGAAAGGGGGTTTAGGTTGTACAATTGATTTTGATGGAAGTCCTTTTGTGTATTTAATTATTTATATATGGCGGAAAATACCGCTCATAATGTATCCTACATTTCTTTTTCGGATCCTTGTGATCCGCATCTAAGCAACGCGCTCCGCCAATTTCACTCGTCGCTTTCAACACTATCACAACCACATGACAACTGACGGGAAATCCATCATATTTTTGGAGTACCAAAATATAAATCTCTTTTAAAAGCATAAATAAAATAATTACTCCGTATTACATACCGATATATACATACAAACACATGTGCACACACATATGCGCCAAAATATCACAAGAATGGATAGGCACATACTTTTTGTGAACTTGCGAATGGACTTGCTTGCAGAATTAGTTATCCTCATAATACGAATTAAAGAACACCGAATTATATTGAACCATCTATCTATCTACCAGGGCCAATTTATATGTATGTAGATGATCTATATATACCCTGTAGCCAGGTGTTAAGCTAAACCTAATTATATATTCATATTATATATATATATATATATATATATATATATATATATATATATATAACACGAAGGATTTTATAAAAGTAACATGTATGTAAAATCTAGTAAGTTGTACAATGTAAGTTGTACAATGTAGCAAGCATTAAAATGCATTAATAAAAAAATGAATTTAGACACATGCCCTTCATATACTATTTTGACCATGTAGAAGTTCGTATCTTAAAATAGTATACGAACGACATGTGTCTAAATTCATTTTTTTAGACACAGGCCAGGTGTTACTATTTTAAATGTAGAAGACCCTATCTTAAAATGGTATACGAAGGGCATGTGTCTAAATTCAAATTTTTTTATTAATGCATTTTAATGCTTGCTACATTGTACAACTTACAAACTCAACAAAGTTACTAGATTTTACATACATGTTACTTTTATAAAATCATTCGTGTCATATATATGATATGAATATGAGTATATAATTAGGTTTAGCTTAACACCGGGCCTGGCTGTAGGTATATATATAGCTCATCTACATACATATAAATTGGTCCTGGTAGATAGATAGATGGTTCAGTATAATTCGGTGTTCTTCAATTCGTATTACAAGGACAACTAATTCTGCTAACAAGTTCATTCAGAGTTCACAAAAAGTATGTGCATATCCATTCTTGTGATATTTTGGTGCATATGTGCGCGCGCATGTGTTTGTATGTATATATTGGTATGTAAAATGTAAACAAATTCGTATAAAATTATTGAATTGACTTTTCATAATAAAGGGTGCTTAAGTTAAGGAAAATGAGAGTTTACATGTTTTTTTTACATGTCATGTAAATTTATCGGTATCACAATGTAGACACACATTGCTTGAGTTGTGTGTCTACATTAAATGTATCAATCATTTTAAAAATGATTGATCATAGATAATTCATCCGTATCCAGGGGCGGACCGTAGTACAGACCTAGGGGGTTGCCGCCCCTCCAACAAAATTTAGTTTTAGTGTATATATATAAGAAAAATAATTTTCGCCCCTTCAAAAAATAATTTTCGCCCTCAAATAATATTTTGAACCCCCCCAACATGGATTTCCTGGGTCCGCCCCTGTCCGTATCACAGCTAATTCAATTCGTTTAAAACATGTAGAAGTTATCGGAAATTTTGTACTACTTATCTGTGATATAGACAAAATTTACGAAGCATGTGCAAAAAAATGAATACACTTAACATTTCTGTTAAATTAAATGAGTTTTTATTTAAATAGGAGTTTAGTCGTTAAGGTAATAGGATTTGGAATTTTATTAGAATGTTTTATTTTGTTTTTTACAACATGCATTAGTATTTAAAATTTAAATATGTAATGAATAACAAATTTAAAATTACAGTTAAAGGTAAATGTTTTATTATATCAGAAATCAAAATGATTGAAAATAAAATATTACAAAAAATCATCATCAAAGTTAGAGAATATAAAAAAAAATGCATTAAAGATCGATGTATTTAATTGGACTGAAATTTTCTTGTATGTTGCTTAATGGTGCAATTAAAATAAAAGATATTTACAAAAATATAACTCCATAAATGTATCGATTATATTAGTAATTTTAATCAAACAACTTATGTTTAATTCTTACACTTAAATGACTACAACAACTATACTGTAGTAAAATTGAATCATATTTTTGTAATTAAATTATATTTGAACAATATATTTTTTTAAAACTCTTTATTTAGAATTGTTTTAAATCTCAATACATTGATTTTCTTGCAAGATTTTATTTATCTATTTAACCTATTTGGGAGATGCGTAGTAATTTGAACATTAAAAGAGCATCCATACACGACCTCGCCTAAATATAGAACGTTCATGATGAATGTCGTTACTGTCGTATCTTAATCGAAATTTTTTAACTATAATAGGAAATGTAATGTTATATTGCACCATTAAGCAACATATAAGACATTTATTGCTTCACATAAATCGCACCATTAAGCATTATATCAGAAATTTATTAGGATTATTAGCTTATTTTATCTCAACCTATCATCAAATCCACAAATCTATCATATTCTTTAACTTATATATATATATATATATATATATATATATATATATATATATATATATATATATAGGGGTTAGTTCCTGTGAGAACACCCTCTTAGGAGAGGAAAAAAGATTAAAATCCAACCATTGACTAACCTTTAATAATCCTAATCCGATGGCTTAGATGGATTCTGAAATAGAGTAATTTTTGGAGGGGATTGGGGTTTTAAAAATCTTACGTGCAACTATATACTAATTGAGGGACATAATGGTAAAGCTCACTTGAGATGTTGTCACGTATAAGGCATCAAAATAGGAAGTAATCCTAACAAATAGATAGGATATTATTTAATGTGGAGTAATCTCCACCATAATTAGAAACATTTGTTTTGATATACTTTTCTTTTATTTAAAATCGTTTCTGAATTCAAAGATCTCACGTAGGATCTTTACTCTTCAAATGCAAAATATGTCCGTTTGCACTCCAATGCTAAGTTGATGCACCTTTATTCAAAGTTTTATGAATTCACATATATTTTATTTTAAGATGCATGTACTATAATTAAGGGTTTTTTACAAGAATATTACTAAAATAAAACTTATTTATATAAATATGACTATTCATTACTACAACATAGTGCTGTGGTAATTTAAGTTCAAAACTTGAACATGAATTACTATGATTTCATTACTACTCTAGTGATGAATCATATTTTTGTAAACCATCTTAATTATTTGGTCATATTTAGGTAATTAAGCGTGCATTTTCATTGTAAACAGAAACATTAATATGTGCAATAATTGTAATTTAAAAGTGCATTTTATTGTAATAGGAAGAATGTGATGTCGAGATGTTATAAATATATTTATATGTTTATCATGCACTAAAATGAATCTCAAATGCACTTTATAGAGCTAAATTAAGTACGTGGTCATGTTCTCATTAGATCAAACCCCTTTTTCAAATTCAACACTTTTTTTTTGTTAAAATGCACACTTCGAAGATTGAAATTGCACATTTGATCTATTTGAAAATCATGATCTATAGTAAATAAAGATTTAAAATAGGGCTGGGACTTTGGAACCAAGAACCGGAGAACCGAACCGGACCGAACCGTTATGACCCGGTTCGGTTCGGTTCCGACATTTATTAGTTATTTGTTAACGGTTCGGTTCCTAATTTTTATTAACGGTTCGGTTCTCGGTTCCTGAAAAAAATATGTACCAGGAACCGTTAAGAAACCGTTATATATAATAATTAAAATTAAATATATTTTTTATGAATATATATATTGTAATGTATATTTACTTATTTATTTTTATATTATATTCATTATTTTAGTTTAGTTATTTAACTATTTAAAACTATTATTTATTTCAACCGGTTCTCTTAGGCTTCTTAGGCCTCTCATTAGGTCCAAACTCCAGCTGGTCGGAACTCTGAAGGTCCAGAGTATTTAAAATTATTATTCTCTTTAACTGGTTCAGCATATATGTATTGAGATTTTGAACGTTGAATGTCTTTTTGGCAAAAATTTAGTCGTGATTTGTAAGAATTTTTTCAAAGACTAGGAACCGTTAAATGACAAGAACCGAACCGTTAAGAACGGTTCGGTTCCTTATCGGTTCTTTAAAATAATTTATAAGAACCGAACCGTTAGTAAAATTTCATATTTTCAAACGGTTCCACATATTTTGCCTAGGAACCGAACCGGTCCCAGGCCTAATTTAAAA